CATAACCACGAGGAGATCAAAGTCTCCTTCCAAAAGCCAGGGTGTATTCAGATCCTGCAACGGACATTGGAGTCCAAGTTGTTTGGTCTCCAGGATGTATACCAACAGCTTCCTCCTTGGGTTCTCCAGCCTTTCACCTCAAAACAGGGTGACACCTTCAGCTTCCCTGGTACTCAGCCCTTGAGACTTGGACTGAGATATGCTACCAGGGTCCCAAGGTCTCCAGCTCGTAGACCTACCCTGAGATTTCCCAGATGTATAATTATGTGAAATACCTGTCCAATTAAACCCTCTCTCATCTGTCACATCAGGACACTCTGGTCTGATTCTCCCGGAGAGACTGACTTAAGTAGGGTTACTATGGCTGTGAAGAGACATCATGATCAAGGCAACTTATAAAAAAAAGCATTTAATTGGCTGCTTGTTTACAGCTTCAGAGGATGAGTCCAGGACCATCATGGCGAGAAGCACAGCAGTAGGCAAGCAGGCAGGCAGGCATGGTGCTGGAGCAGTAGATAAGAGCCTTTACATACTGATTAAAAAGTTGGAGGCAGAGGAGAGTGAGACTGGGCCTGGTGTAGGCTTTTGAAACCCCCAAAGCCTACTCTGAGTGACACATCCCCTCCAACAAAAGCCACACCTTTTAGTCCTTCCCAAACAGTTCCACCAACTAAGGATCAAGCATTCAAATATACAGCCCTATGAGAGCCATTCTAATTCAAACCACTACAAGAACCCTCACTAAAATCATGCTGATATAAAAGTATCATACAAAAGATCTCCCAGAATCATAAATCACTAGAACTTTTAACCTTGTTCTTTATTTCAATTTGGTTTTTGTTTTTCTGGGTTTTTTTTTGTTGTTGTTTGTTGTTGTTTGTTTTTGAGACAGGGTCTCATGTAGCCCAGGCTGTCCCTTGTATTTGCTATATACATAACCAAGAGTGACTTCAAACTTCTGAGTTCCAGTCTCCATCTCCAAAGTGGAAGAGATTACTAGTGTGGCCCTCCAAGCCTTCCTTATGTGTATAGAGATCAAACCCAGGGCTCCATACATGTTAAACAAGTATTCTACCCACTGAAATATACCTCCAGTCCCAGTAAAGACTTTTTAGGAAAGCCCATAGGTTATCTATATCTATTTTGTTTTATTTTTATTTTATTTTATTTTTTTGTTTTTTTGTTTTTTTGTTTTTTTGTTTTTTTGGTTTTTTCGAGACAGGGTTTCTCTGTGTAGCTTTGCGCCTCTCCTGGAAGTCACTTGGTAGCCCAGGCTGGCCTCGAACTCACAGAGATCCGCCTGGCTATTTTTTGGTTTTTTAAGATAGGAGTTCACTGTTGCAGCATTTGGAGCCTGTTCTGGAACTCACTTTGTAGACCAGGCTGGCCTTGAACTCACAGAGATTCACCCTGCCTCTGCTTCTGGAATGCTGGGATTAAAGGCGTGTGCCACCACCGCCCAGCTCTATATCTATTTTTTTTATAGTTTTCTTTTTTAATGATTTGTTTTTATTTTATATGCATTGGTGTTTTGCCTGCCTACATGTCTCTGTGAGGGTATCAGATCCCCTGAAACTGGAACTTTGGACAGTTGTGAGCAGCCATGTGGGTGCTGAGAAATGAACCCTGGTCCTCTGAAAGAGCAGCCAAGGCTCTTAACCACTGAGCGATCTCCAGCCTCTATCTATATCTATTTTAAAGTAGATGCTGTCTGTACAATTTAGCTGTGAGCTCAGAGTTACATCTCAGAATCACAACCTGCTTGTATTATCTGCATACGTCTCACTCCTTCTACACACCGGTGCCCCCAAGGGCTAGGCTGGGCAGGTGTGTGTGTGTGTGTGTGTGTGTGTGTGTGTGTGTGTGTGTGTGTGTGTGTGTGTGTGTTTTCTTTTCTCTGATCCACGCCTAAGCAGGAACAAAGATTGAAAAGCTAGACAAAAATTTCTTTTATGTGTGTTTGCAGAACCAGTTAGTCTTCTCTAAGAGGTAAACGAAGATTGCCCCTGGAGAAAGGAAGGAGACAGAGTGGTGCCAGGAGAAGGTCGGAGGAGATGGTTGACAGATCAGAGATATGTGAGGGAGGAGAACGGAGAGGATGAGTCTGTCTGCCAGTGTGGTTTCAGGACCAACTGTGCTGCTGACGGCCACCTGCTGCTCGACAGTTCTTGGTACCTGTGAGACTCATAGTCACAGGTGAGGGCCACACCCACTTCAGATGTCATTTGCAAGCTGCAGGGGCCTCTGGTTCTTGGCCATACAGGCTGCAAACCAAGAGTTCCACAATCCTTATCTGTTTGATAATTTGTTATAATGGCTTAAAGAGCCCAGGAAAACAGTTACTTGTATTCACAGTTTATTATAAAGGATGCAAATGGGACTAAGATGTGGCTGAGCTGGCAGAGTCCTTGCCTAGCATGCACGAAGCCTTGGGTTTGATTCCCAGCACTGCATAAACTGGTGAGATGACATACTTCTGTAATTCCAGCACTCAAGAATGGTTTGCAGGAGGATCAGGAATTCAAGTTCATCTTTGGCTGTCTAATAAATTTGAGGCCAGACTGGATTAGATGAGACTCTGTCTCAAAACAAAACAAAACATATAAATGGGCAGTGCAGACATGCATGGGGTAAGGTGGGAAGGGAGTCCAAGCACACTAGCCTCCCTCATGAGTTCAGCAGCCTGGACACTCTCCAACCCTTCACTGTGGTTTTTGTATAGAAGTCCCTATCTATACAGGCAGGCTCGATTAAATCATTGGCCTTGGATGACTGAGGTTAATCTCTAGCCCTTCCCTCCTCTCCAGAGGTTAAGTTGAACACTCCAATCCTCTCATCACATGGTTTTGTTTCTCTAGGCTAGCCCACCATCTGCTTTGAGGGGGAGCTGGGTAGGACCAGCCTCTTTTGAAACATTATTTTCTCTGCAACCGGGTATCTTACTTGGGAAGATGGGATGCTGGAATTTCTCGATAGAACTGTGCTCAGGAACTGGGTTCATCAACAGTTCACAATTCAGGACTGTGGTAGACCAGAAAAAAAGGTTTTGTCCCCAAGTGCTGGTACAGAGTCCCTAAAACCTTTGGAATGATTAGAATGCTGAATATTTTATATGCTTATGAGATGATAAGTGACTGAGGTCCCTAGGTAGCTTCAAGAGTTTAGGACATTCAATCCACTCCCCCGAGGAAGGGGACAGAAAGATAGAATTCAAGCAATAACTTAATTAATCATTCATACTTAATGACACTTCTATAAAAACTCCTGAATGACAGGATTTAGAAAGCTTCTGGGTAAATATATGGAGGTGCTGGAGAGGATGTTGGGTGACTTTTCCTGAGGAGACATCAACAAACATCTATTTACTCAGAAAGAGGGCTCAGCAAACAGAGGAGCTTGGTGCAGGCCTGACCACCTTGGGGAGGAACCTTGTAAATCTTATGAATTTCAGGGGTTTCCTGAGACTTATTAGTTGTCTACTTCCTGAACCTTGTAAATTTCATTAACTTCCTGAGTCTTAACAAACCTCCCTCCAGGATGGACTATTTCAAACAGAGGGAAACTGCTGTACAACGAAGACAGTAAACCAGAAGCTGACTTGGAAGCTGTATTCCTGTCCTCTGACCTTGCGCTGTGTAGCTCTTCCATTTGAGTGTTTCTGAGTTGAATCATTTATTTTCAATTGGTAATTGTAAGTGAAGTGGTTTTCTGAGTCCCATGAGTCATTCTAACAAGTTATTGTACTTGAAGTGGGAAGCTGTAGGAATGCCCACTTTCAAAGTCATGCTGGATAGATGTATAGGTTGCATGGGGGACCCAGTACTTAAATCGCTAGTGTCTGAAGTGATGGTAGTCATGAAGAACTGAACCCTTAAACCTGAGGGAGGACCTTGGACCTGCGTTTGCTCAGCCTCTGTGTCAGAACTGAATGGAACTGTCGAACTTCTCTGATCCGTGTCTACCATGAAGCAAGTTTATAAGGTGAGTAGTGTTTTGAATAAGAAAATGCCTAATAGGCTCAGAAGTTTGAATACTAGGTCCCCTTGGTAGAGCTCTTCGGGTAGGTTTAGGAGGTGTGGCCTTGCTGGAGGAAGTGTGTCACTGGAGGCAAGCTTTGAGGTTTTCAAAAGCCTCACTCCATTCCCACAGTGAGCTCTGCCACGTGCTTGGTGGCAAGATGCAAACTCTCAGCTGTTGCAGACACCATGCCTGCCTGCTGCCACATGTCCCTGCCATAGTGACGATGGACTCATATTCCTACGGAACCGTAAGCCCACATAAACACTTTCTATAAGTTGCCTTCGTCATGGTGTTTTATCAGAGCAACAGACAACTAATGAATGTGTGCCAGATGCACTAAAACCGTACTTGAGTTGCCTAAATCCAGTCTTCGGGAGAAACTAAAAGATGTTCTCTTCCCCTTTCTTTTGAACCACCCGCCCCCTTAGATGCCCTCGGGAGTTGTACTCCCACCCTCATTCTGTGCACCTGTCATTCCTCATCTCCCACATCCTTCCAGGTATCTACCCAGATGTCCAGGGTAGCCAGGTATCTCTGTCCTCTCCTTTCTATTTAGTCCTATAACTCTATTAGCCTTCTTGGGGACTGTTCTAGCTCTTTGTCCTTTCTCCTGGGAATTTATCTGCCTTTCCTTGGTCAAAATCAGTCACCCTCCCTTCCTAGCAGTACATCTCCTGCTTATTGCACTGTTCAAGTAAACAAACAGCTTCAACCCCCAGCTGAAGTCTTCCCAGACAAGAATTACCATAGACAGGAGCTGGAGAGATGGCTCAGAGGTTCAGAGCATTGGCTGCTCTTCCAGAGGACACACATGGCAGTTCACACCTGTCTGCACCTCCTGTTCCAGGGGATCCGACACCCTCACACGAACATGGATGCGGACAAAACACCAATGCACATAAAATACAAATAAATATTTAAAAAATTACCCTAGACACATCTTGTCTAGTTGCAAGAAATAGGTACCCGTTTAAACTCACTGGAGGCAAAATGAGAAATTTATTTTATGGTATCAGTTGTCCCAGAAAAATCAACGATACAGTGCCTAAGTATGCATAATGCCCTGGGATTAATCTCTAGATTCACAAAATAGAAAAAAGAAGAAGGAGGAGGAGGAGGTGGAAGAGGAGGAGGAGGAGGAGGAAGAGGAGGAGGAGGAGGAGGAAGAGGAGGAGGAGGAGGAGGAGGAGGAGGAGGAGGAGGAGGAGGAGGAGACGGAAGAGGAGGAAGACATAAAACTCAAGAAACACCATCAAGTGGCCGTTGGGCCCCAGGGATCAAAACTACTCTTTCAGCTCCTACCCCCGCCCCTTCAGCACCAAGTCTTTTTTAAAGCATAGCTGAGCATGTATCATCCTCACTCTTCTTGCCATTCTGCCTTTCTCTACTTCTCTGCCCACTTGATACAAGCGGTCCCATATAAATCCCAAGATGTGCAACTCTTCAGCTTGAGCGATGTCGATGTCGAATAAGACTATAGAATTCCAATGGCAGAAACCCAAGGAAGGGACTCATTCCATGCGGTCTAATTGGGCTACAAACAGCAACTAAATGTCTATTTGTAACCAGAGGGTTCCTTTGTGAAACAAAGTGGTACTTGTTTCAAAGGAATAGGTTTTAGGGAAATGGGATAATGTTCCGGTAGATATTCCCAAACCTCAAAGCAGCTGTACTGTGGCACTAAGTGCTTACTGGAATGATACCTAGTCGGTGTACAGAGGACCAGCGGGGAACAGTGAAGAGGACAGTGCGGGACTCCTCTGACCATCCAGTCAATGACCTTTCGTGGTTGGCGCGACTTCCAGGAGCAGCTGGAGATGCATCGTGGCCGCTTGCATGCACTTGGACTGACACCGGAAGTGGAAAAGCAGGAAATACACCAGGAAGCCACTGAGCAGGAAGCAGAAGATGTACAGGAATTCCACCTGGGGATGGTCGATGACGGGTGCCAGCACCAGGTAGAGAGACACCAGGAGCATGACGGCGGGAATGAAGGTGGGGACCTGCAGAGGGCACAGAGAGTTTATTTGACCCCTGAGACGGGAAGGATGAGGGAGGGGTGTCCCTGAGTTGTGTCTTTCCTACCTACCTCTCAGTTATTTCTACCTATCGCTAGTGTCCCTCCTCCAGTATGTGATAGAATACCCGACTGGGCCAGGGGAGCCACCTGCTGGGATGCACGTGTGTGTGTGTGTGTGTGTGTGTGTGTGTGTGTGTGTGTGTGTGTGTGTGTGTGTGGAGGCTCCTTAAAAAGCAGAGTCTGGAGCCCAGCGTTAGCTTCTCTGTGCTATGAGGCCTCTGCGTATGTGCTCCATCTTTCTCCCCTGTGGCCCTACAGAGGAGAAATGACCAATAACCCTTTCTACCCCACCCACAAAATGTGCAATGTTCTACCAAATACAATGGCAGTAGCAGCTTCTGACATTCCTTGTCTAGGCCAATGGTTCTCAACCTGTGGATCTCGACCCCTTTCAGGAGGTGGGGGCCATGGCGAGGGGCATCAAACAACCCTTTCACAGGGGCCACATATCAGATACCCTGCGTATCAGTTGTTTACATTATGATTCATAACAATAGCAAAATTATAGTTACGAAGTAGCAATGAAAATAACTTTGTGGTTGGGGGTCACCACAACAGCATGAGGAATTGTATTAAAGGGTCCGAAGCATTAGGAATGTGGAGAACCATTGGTCTAGGCCTTGGAGGAGGCAGTGGCCCAAAGATACACTTCATATAGAGCCTAGATTGAAAGATGCTCAGCGACTGTCCTGAAGGCTACCTTGTAAGTGTGGGGAAGATTCTTTGTCTTTATTCGCAAGTACAGGAGACAGCCAAAGGTGGTTCCAGAGGTGAGCCAGGAGAGGAAGCTGTAGTGTAAAAAAAAAAAAATGGAAAGTGTAACTGAGGCCCTCTCTGATAGAACCCACCTGGATCAGGACCACGTGTTCAAAGAGCAGGGGGAGCATTTGGTTTTCTTTAGAGGAGAGCCTAGGTCTAGACAGATGGCTCAGGGGTTAAGAGCAGTTGCTGCTCTTACAGAGGACCCAGATTTGGTTGTCAACACCCATAGGGTGGCTCACAACCATCCTTCACTCCAGCTCCAAGAGATCTGATGCCTTCTCCTGACCTCTGAGGGAACCAGGCATGAATGTGGTACAAAAACATACATACAGACAAAACACATATACATATAAATAGAATCAATAAATCTTTTGTTTTGTTTTGTTTTTCGAGACAAGTTTTCTCTGTGTAGCTTTGGAGCCTGTCCTGGAACTCACTCTGTAACCCAGGCTGGCCTCGAACTCATAGAGATCTGACTGCCTCTGCCTCTCAAGTGCTGGGATCAAAGGCGTGCGCCACCATCACCTGGCAAAGATCAATAAATCCTAAAAACAAAACAAAAAACCTAGAGATGACCCTGTGAGTCACAAAACAAATGAAACTGGGATAAGAACTTGGTAGAAGGAAGGGATAGGGATTGGGGGTGGGGCGGGGGGGATATGAGAGGGCAGTGGGTCGAGTGTGGACAGAATGTATTTTATACATATATGAATTTGTCAAAGAATAATTGCTTCTAGGCCTTTCAGCGAAAATCAAGTGTGAAACAGTCAAAATAATAAATTAATGTTTAAAATAAAACCTTTTTAAAAAAAGAGGGCGTGGTGGAATCTCAAGGAGGCTATGCTCAGTGGAGGGGGGCTCATCAAAGCAGAACTCTTCTCCCAACCCATCTTTCCTTGAGGGCTGATGACATTACATGTAGGTGGATAAACACCCCATCAGCCCTTGCCCCGGTCCCTTCCCAGGTCGATAACTTGAGTGACTGCTGCCGTTCTGATAAAATTCCATCTGAAGGTCTAGTGTAACAGCTTAGTCAGCAAAAACAGCTTGCGAAGACCTGAGCTCAATCCCCAGAACCCATGTGGAAAAGCCAGGTGTGGCGCTACGTACGGGCTTGTAATCCCAGCACTGTGAAGGCAGAGACAAGTAGATCCCCGGGGCTCACTGGCCAGGCAGCCTAGCCTAATGGGCTAGTTCTGCACGTGGGAGGCAAAGGCAGAAATATTGCCCTAAGTTCTAGGCCAACTTGGTCTACATAGCATGTTCTAGAACAGCCAGGGCTACACAGTGAGACCCTATATGTGCTGGCTAGTTTTATGTCAATTCAACACAAGCTGGAATTAGACTGAAAGAAGGGACTATCAATTGAGGAAATGCCTCCATAAGATCTGACTATAGGGCATTTTCTTAATTAGTGATTGATAGGCAGAGGGGGAGGGGCAGCCCATGGTGGGCGGTTCCATCTCTGGGCTGGTGGTCCTGGGTTCTATAAGAAAGCAGGCTGAGCAAGCCATGGGGAGCAAACCAGTAAACAGCACCCCTCCATGGCCTCTGCATCAGCTCCTGCCTCCAGGTTCCTACCCTGCTTGAGTTCCTGTCCTGACTTCCTTCAATGATGGACTACAATGTGGAAGAAGTGTAAGCCAAATAAATCCTTTCCTCTCCATATTGCTTTTGGTCACAGTGTTTCATCACAGCAATAGAAATCTTAACTAGAACATTGTCCTAAAAAAATATAAATAACATATGAGAAATGACTTCCAAGTTTGATCCCCTGACCTTCACATGCACACATTCATGCATACATGCAAACACACACACACACACACACACACACACACACACACACACACACACACACACACACACACACCTGCATACACGTGAATACTACACAAATTCTATCTAACCTGGCAATCAAGGACCAGAAGAAGCCACTTCTTGAGGTGATCCAGACTACAAAATATTAGGTCCTAACTGAATAGACCATCCCAGGATTCTTGCTCTGTACTGAGACATTGTACTGAGACATTCTTGGTCACATTCCCCAGTCTCTACCTGAAGACTCATGTCTCCTAGACCCACAATGGATTAGATTTTGTTATCACTGTATAACGATTTCCATCTTTCTCATGGGAAAAACAACGAAAATAAAACATTTGTGACGTGGTGTCCCTAAGAATCACACCAAGCACTGAATGTCCTCTTCTAGATTAGACAACAGAGCAGGGAACATGTGATGCCTGAGAAATTGCTAGAACTCCCTCTGCACTCAGACACTGTGCTCATCTGGCCGTTGAAAAATGAAGCCTGCTTCAAATGAGCTTAGAAAATGACAAGTGATTATCACAATGACCTGTGATTTCTGTCTTAAGGAAAATATCAGAAGGGACTCAGAACATCCCCTTCCTGTGCTGAAATCATTCATTGTGCCTAAACAGCTTGGTGTGGATCTACACTGAGTTCTGGGACTGAGTCCAGAGCACAAGTTCAGACTACAGAGGGGGAAAAAATCATGCCGTGTCTAGGGGCTCCCCAGCATTACGATGCCTAAATGTCCTTTTTATTTAAAGGTTTATTTATCTTATGTGCATTGATATTTTGCCCACATGTATGTCTATGTGAGGGTGCCGGATCCCCCTGGAACTGGAGTTACAGACAGTTGTGAGCTGCCATGTGGTCACTGGGAAATGAACCCTGGTCCTCTAGAAGAGTAGCCATTGCTCTTAGCCACTGAGCCATCTCTCCAGCCCCTCCTAAATGTCCTTTAGCATCATCTTAGCAACAGAATGAAGGGAAATAGTGACAGCAGTAGCACAAGCCTTAGGCTGTCTAGTGGTGAAACACCCGTCTTACTGAATGGAGGGAGAGGAGAGCCATGTTTAATTCTGGAAACATAACAGAGAGAATGGCTGAAATATACGTATAGGTGTGAGGATTCTGGGCCTGGGCTTTCAGAAATGCATCACACACACACACACACACACACACACACACACACACACACACACACACATATATATATATATACATATATATATATATGTACATATATATATATATATATATGCATGTGGAGCTCAAGAGACACAGATGCACTCTTCTATGTGTGTGTAGATAGATAAATAGATCAGTAGGTAGGTAGGTGGGTGGGTGGGTGGGTATATAGATAGGTAGGTCGATAGATAGATGGATGGATGGATGGATGAATGGATGGATGGATGGATAGACAGACAGACAGATAGATAGACAGACTGATAGATATTATTTGGATGTAAAATATTTACCCACGGATTCATGTGTTTGAAACAGTTGAAAACATACTGTTTGGGGAGATGATTGAAACGTAAGGGGACGGAGGCTCAATAAAGAAATGAGTCTCTGGGTGGCTGGGTAGGCCTTGAGATTTATAACACCCAGCTTCCTGTCCTCTCTCTACTTCCTGGTCCACTGAGATGTGAGCAAACAGTTATACACACCTCTTACCACAGCCTCCAAACACTCCCATTCCCGTGCCTCCCTGCCATGTTGGTCTGTACCCTCCACATGCCAAGATTAATCCTTTCTCTTTTAAGTTGTTTCTTGTCGGGTATTTGATTGCTATGATGAGAAAATTTGTGTGCGTGCATGGGCGCGTGTGTGAGTGTGTGCATGGGTGCATGTGTGCATGCATGGGTGCATGCATGCATGGGTGCATGTGTGTGTGTGTGTGTGTGTGTGCGCGCGCGCTTATGCACATAGGAGCTCCAGAAAAGAACACACACTTTTATGTGTGCAAGGTTGTACATATAAGGGCATATAAGTACAAAGATGTCTGGGACACAGATACCAGCCGGGGAATGTCTCACTTACCTCAAGAGGTTGACGAAGGTGCTGAAGTCACCTGGAATAAGCAGGACCAAAGCCACAGCTGTGGTGAAGACCATGGCTGGGGCTGGTGTCAGTCGATGCACATGAATCATGGACATAAGCTGGGGCTGGAAAACGGTTGGTGTGAGAGAAGCTGCAGAACAGCCACAAGAAAGCACTCTGCGGGCGGCGGTGGCGCTCGCCTTTAATCCCAGCACTCGGGAGGCAGAGGCAGGCGAATCTCTGTGAGTTCGAGGCCGCCTGGACTACAAAGTGAGTTCCAGGACAGGCTCCAAAGCTACACAGAGAAACCCTGTCTCGAAAAACCAAAAAGAAGCACTCTGTCCCCTGTCACGCTTTGGACACCAGTGTGCCCAATCTCATGGTCATTTGTATCATGGCTTCCAGGGCATATGTTTCCTTGGGCTGCTATGATACACTGGATTATTATCCTCCAAATATTCAGTCTCCCACTCTTTGCCTCTGTGTCAGGAACACAGTTTTCAACCATTGATGCGGGCTAGACTGTGTCACTCAATTCATCCAACAAAAAGCATGAGCGCAAATGACAAGCAAATACGCTAAATGTGATTAGACGTTTGTTTTGACATCTTAAACCCTGATTCCTGAATTAAACAAGAAACGCCCCTCAGGAGCCACCTCTGCTTTATTGGGCCTGCATCCCTGAAGTAGAAACAGTCTCCTTTCCAAAATCAGAATGACCCAAGCAGGGCTACAGATAACACGAAGAGCAACCGTTAAACGTTGTTGCAAGTCACTGGCCGTCTGGGGTTTGCCTGTTATTCAATATTATTATCATAGTAAAGGCTAACAAAGAGTCTCTGAGGGAAAGGGGCATTGTGTGTACCCGGGGCCTCCTCCCTCTGGCCTCTGTACTCTTGTTATTCACAGACAGGCTCTACCACTTATCTCTTCCACTTCACATCATCCAGGACCATGACAGCCCTGAAACCTGGAAGAGATGGGGAATCCTTCGGAAAGGTATGGAAGGGCCGTGTCCCATTCTCAGAAGAAAAGAGGGCCGCCTCTGACTGGGGAGGTCCAGGCTTGGCCTAAATGCTAAGCTCGGGTGGGGGAAGGCATAGGTGAAAGGTCCCCCAGCCCCCTCCTTGCAGCCCTGACCACCTCACTTGACCCGCAGATCCCGCCTCTTACCATGTGACCTTCTCTGGCGGCCGCGTAGCACAAACGGCTGCCGCTGAAGAACGACCCGTTGACGGTACCAAATGTCGAAAGCGCAACAGCCAAGGGCACCAGCCAGGCCCAGGACCCCAGAACCTGGTTCCTAGAACAACAGAACCATCAAGGGAAAGAATTCTAGCAGGGACTTGGAAAGGGGCCCCAAGGCCTCCTGGGAAGTAGAGAAAACAATGCATTTAAAGACCAGTTCAGATCCACATAGAGCGCCCTCTGTCCCCATCCCAAAATGCAAGGCACCCACCCCGTGACAGACTCACCCCCAGCTCACAGCCATGGCGTCGGAGGAGAGGATCTCCGAGGGTGACATAACCAGCAGGTAACTGATATTGACCAGGACGTACAGGATGGTGACCAGGGGGATGGCAATCATCACTGCCCACACGAGGTTCCGCTGCAGGCTCAGGGAGAAGAGGGCAAAGGTTAGCCAAGGAGGCCTTTGGAGGCGTTCAGAACTATGCTGTCCCCAGGGCCACTGCGCTGGACCCTGGGGAACGGAAGCATTGTGTTCCTCCCCCATGAGAACGCGATCCCCATGGCATGGGTTCACAATCAGGCAGGTGTGTGGTGAGTGGCATAGGGTACTAGACAGAGGGCGGTGGAGATGCAGAGGGGATGGCAGAGGTATCACCAGAGCTTCCTGGATGAAGAGGGCCTTCACCTAGGCTCTTTTTGAGGCATGGAAATGACTGGGGAAGGTGGGAAGGTGAGTTTCCCACAGAGGAAACCGAAGAGAAAGGAAGCTAATGATGTCCCCTGTCTGCTTTGCAGTAGGCATGATTGGCCCCTCATGGAAACATCTGATTAGCACATCTCCTCTTTAGCCTTAAAGCAAAGACAATTTCCAGAGCTTTTTCTGCCAGGAATGAGCTCTGCTTGTGGGAATTCTTGGACCTGGAGAGGGAAAGGAAAGGAGGGGGACACAGAACGGGGCAATCATCTCCACCTATTTCGGATCTTGGTAACCAGCCTCCGTGTAGATGCTGTCCTTACTCCCTGTGTACCCGTGTACGTTGGCAGGCTCTGTCCTTTCTGCCCTACAAGTTCACATTAACACTGCTTCTGCAGAGCTGTAGTTAAATTCCAATCTCCTCCCCCAGGAGGCCTTATCTGTTCTGCCTTGTCGGTCACCCTCCCTCGAGGACCATGCCGCAAGTTAGTGAAAATGAAGTAAATGAGACAGCCGCGGACTCTTGTATGAGTTCCCCAAGTCCCCCTCAGCTTTAAAATCTGGGACTCTGAGTTCAAAGGAAAGTGCCTTGGCCCCAGAATGGATATAGCAGCCAAGGTCTTATTACCTACCACCCAGGGGTGGTTGGAATGTGGCTCTGCCTAGGCTCACACAAGGCGACCTGTAGCCAAGGTACTCTCACTCCCACAGGCCTTTCGGGGGATGCCCCTCGGCACAGTGAGCACCCAGTATGCATGAGTCAACCTCACACGTAGTCAGGGCAAGGAACCTAGTATGCTTTTGAATTTGACCTCTCCCTCGGCATCTTTCCCAGTAGTAATGAGCTGTGACAATGGTAGAGTCCTGGGTGGGATCATAGATATGTTTCTGGCCAATATACCACAAGAACAGTGAGACTCTCTGTACTCTTGAGAGCCCTGAATTCTTCAAATCCCAAAGAGTCCACATACAAGGCTGACCCCTGGTTTGGCAAAGTTTCTGTAGTTTCTTTGCTGGAGGTGAGGAAAGTATGAACTAAATACACCCTTTAGAACAAGTTAGGGCAGAATGCTGGCATTCAGGTGACTGGCTTAGGTTTTGCTTTGAAACCCACATCAAAAAAAAACAAAAAAAAAACAAACAAAAAAAAAAAAAACAAAAAACAAAAAAAAAAACCACGCCCTGGCTCTAGCAGAGATCAGCAAACACTAGCCATGAACCAATTCTAGAATTCTAGCCTGTGGCCTGATTTTGTCAATAAAGTTTTATTGAAACACAGCTGTGTTCCTTTACTTACCTGTGGCAGTTTTCCTGCTACGATAACAGAACTGAGTAGTTGTGACAGGGACTAACAAACATGGGGCCTAAAATCTTAACCCTTGGATCCTTTCTAGAAAAGCTTTGCTGATAACCACTGTAACCATGGGAGCTTGTCTTCAACTTCAGGGGCCAACTTTCAGGACCCTGCTCTTTCCTCGACCTAGCTGAAAGCCCAGGGTCTAGATTGAGAAAGGGGGCTCTATGGCTGTCAGGCCACCATATGCACATGCTACCCACTTACTTGACAGTTTCCCAAGCCATCTGCCAAGAATGTACCGGTGAAACCTCAGTGCCCTGTGAGGAAGTCAGGGCAGTTATTACGACGGTCCCTTTTCATAGACAAAGACTTAGGATCATGAGATTATATGCAAAAAATTAAAACCACCAGGCACGCCAGTAACTCCTGCAATCCCACCATTCCGGGGTGAGGATCAGAAGTTCAAAGACACTCTTAGCCACAACGCAAGCTCAAGGCCTAGCTGGGCTACAATGAGACTTGCATCCGAAAGAAGAAAAATAAAAATAAGGATGAGATCCTAGGACTCCGAGCATGCATTCTCTCTCTCCTCTGTCTCTGCATCTCCTTCCTCTGTCTCTCCTCTTCTCTCTTTCCTCTGTCTCTGTCTGTTTCTCCCTCTGTCTCCTCCTTTCCCTGTCTCTGCTTTTACACTTTTCTCGCTAAGCTGCCTTTCTCTCCTCAAGTTGCCCTCCAGTGAGCCTTTGCCAAGACTCTGAAAGTCGGAATGCCCCTAAGCCAGCCGCCCATTGGGGACAACAGAAGACTCGCAATTCCCATTCTGTGAGAATTTGAAACTCCTGCAAGGGGGAAAAAAAGAAAGAAAACAAATAACATCTCAGAAAATATATTTATAGCAAAGAGTCAGTATATTAATAACCGAAGATCCAAATGCCACAACCAAGTCCCGGGTAGCCCTTCAGACCAGCTAGCACACTGATTATCCAGGCCAGGCTCACAGGTAGGGTGAACAGGCATGACTGGCTTGTTCCCCAAGCCTCAAGTGGTTCCCAGGCTTCAGAAACTATAAGTATCTACTGCAATGTTCTGGAGGAAACAACCCAGGAGCTAGCCAGCAGCATCAATTAAGAATGCTGGCAGTATGAATTCAGAACAATTCCCCTTTTGCAGAATTCAGTTTTCCCCTGTAAAAAATGGGCATTGATGGCTACCTCGAGAAGCAGAAGGTTGAGTCCATGGGGTATGACAGTATGAAGTACTCTGCTTTAGTTAGAAACCATAGTTAAAATCCCATAAACTAATCAAGGCAAATGGGCCACCATGAAGGTCCCATGAGTACATCCAGGGAGCCTCGATTCCACTTAGATTGTTAATGAGCTCGGTCATTTGAGTAGTGGGAACCCCAGTTCCTGGAGCTGCCGATGTTCAGAGGTTCACCCCCCAGAGCAGCACACTCAACTCACCTTTGGGTTCTTGAGCTCCTCTACCACCATGTTGATGTTATTCCAGCCATCAAAGGACCACAGGCCCTGGTAGAAAGCCATGCCAATGCGCCCTGCCTGCTGGGTTGTGTTGTGGAAGGTGAACGGCAGGGATTCGATACGACTGCGACCCTGAGCCAGCACCACGGCCCCACCCACCACAATGACAAGCAGGGAGAACACTTTGGCGGCCGTGCACACGTTCATCACCACCATGGACATCCGTGAGCTCCAGAAATTGATCAGCAGCAGCAACAGGATGCAGGAAGAAGCAACGATCTTGACCATGATTTGAGGGAGCGAGGAGCAGCCTGGGTAAAAGGGAGCCAGTGCATACTCGGCGAAACTCAGAGACACGGCGGTGATGGCGGCTGGTTTGGCCACCAGAACAAATGTGTAGATAACCAGGAAGGCAGGCAAAGAGCCAAAGGTTCGCAAAATGTAGGCATAGTCTCCCCCAGATTCAGGAACCAGGCTGCCCAGTTCAGCATAGCACAGGGCGCCCATCACGGCCAGGAGGCCACAGGTCGCCCAGACAACGAGACTAGCTCCAGGACTGCCCATGTAAACCAAGACCCCCTGTGGGGACATGAAGATGCCAGAGCCAATCATACAGCCCGCGGTCATGGACACTGCACTCCACAGGCCAATCTCCCTCTTCAGGGCCAGCCCCGGTGCCCCACTGCTCTGCTCCTGCCCTGCCGCCGCCGGCCCATCACTGCCGTCTCTCTCCTCACTTCTCTCCATCTCGAGACTTCAGCGGATACTGCCTCTGGTTGGTGACAGGGACAGGCTCCGGTCCCTATCATCTGTGGGTTTCCTGGAGGCGTTAATGATTACAGTGTCTGGAGGGAGTCCAAGCCAGAGGGCAAAGACGCAGGATGCGATCTAGAAGGAGCTGAAGGATCTAGCAAGCACCAGACCAGCTCAAGACTCAGTGCAGACAGTCTGTAGGAGCCACGGGTCAGAATCAGTCATGAAAGGTCCGGGAGAGAAAGGGGTTCTGAAATCTCTACTAATAGCTGGGGGGAGGGGGGCTGGGCTCATGTAAGAGGGTGCTTGCTCGGCCCAGTGTGAGTTCCATCCTCGGAACAGCAGGTGGGAGCGGGGGAAGAAAGGAAGGGAGAGAGAGAGGGCAAGAGGGGTTAAAAAAAAAAAGGGAGAGAGGGAGAGAGGGAAGGGAGGATTTTCCATTACCCTGTTCCACCGCAGCATGACAGCTGGATGTTTACTCAGTATCAGTAGGACAGCCAAGCAGCTGCATCTTCCTTACTTCCCACATCTCCCCCTCCCCTATCCCACTGTACCCCTCTGGCCCTCGGATCCCCCATTCCGCCTCCGCATCACCTGTAAAGCCTGTACCCCCAGCCACTTCCTTCCTTCCTGGCGGGGAGCAAGCTCCATCCCGCGTCTCCTTCACCATTCCTCCTAGTTCTTCTCTGGGCTCGACTTTACGCAACTGGCTTTAAGACTGTATTGGAATCCTTGCTTCCTGGGAGACGTGGTGAAGATGTCTCAGACTCTCCCAGGTGGTACAGTGGTGATGGTGGGGGCGGTCAATCAACCAAAACGAAATGTGTACAAAAAACGCGGCAAGCAAACCTGTTGCATGTATGCTAACTAAAACATAAACTGACAGAGCACTGTTATAAGGATGGTACTGCTGATCTCAGATCTACGGCCTCACAGTTGTACGACCTTGAGCGGGAATCTCTGAACTTCATCTTACCCCTCCATCAGTTAGTAACGCCTCTCTTGTAGAGCTACTTGAAGAATTAACTAACAATCTGAAGAAGCTTGGGTAGCATATGAAGCAAAAGTAAGCGTGTCGTCACTGTGGCCACTTCCCTTACTCACTGGATAACGTTCATTGGTTCCACTGGGGAAAAGAGGGATTGATATTAATACCAGGAAGAGAAACGATTAAAAGGATATGTGTGTATGTATATATATAATATTTAAATTAATAAATTGTTATTAAAGGGATATTTAAATTAATAAATTATATTTAATGTTGGGTGTTCTGTGCTATGTGAGTCATATGAAGGAAGACGACAGTCCAAAATGAATTTTTTAGTCCTATGTGGCAGCAAGTAGGTACAACCTCTGATGGACTTGACCCTTGAATAGCCCATACAAAAGCATATTTATGGATGGTTATGCAAAGTTGTTTTTTTGGGTGAACAAGTTCCTCATACCAAAGTCCCCGATCTTATCTATATGTTCTCCGTAGGTAAGCATCATGCCCCTCTACTTTAGTTCTTACTGTGTGCCATTTGCAGTACCCAATAATCCAAGAGCTTCAAGTGTGCCAGAAGCATCTGGTGATCAAAGTCTTGCAGGCTTTGGAGCTGCTTCAGAAAACAACTCTGGAAATCACAGAAAATCATCATTATTTCCCGCAATGGTTTCTTCAAGGTTAAAGCACTTCTAGAAAACAATGATCCATTCTGTTTACCCGAGATACAGCAACGCTGCTAGGTTCCTCCAACAATTTAACAATACAAAATTTCTTTCGTCTAGAAACAGTATTTATTTCAGGATAGTATGTGTAGCTTTTTTTTTTAATTGATCATCCCTTTTGTTAAAAACAATACTGAATAATGGAACCTTTGCTAGTTACAGGAAGATGAGAAGAACTTACTGGAATTTGGGGTAAAGATGTTGGCTCCAAAAGGGAGCGAACAGCTTCCCTTCAGGCTCGTCTAGCTCAAGCTAGCCATACGGACAACTTGGATCTCACGAACGTGTCAGGAAAGCTTTCAACAGACACTAGGACCTTTACTGTCATGGCTCCTGAGTGTTCTTCTACTTTTCACGTCTGTTGCAAGAGTAACCTCCTAAGCATCACTATAGAATTTACTAGAGTAGCATAGAGCTGCGGTCCAGCTAGTTCAGCGATGACTGTCTACCAACGGAAAGTCCAAGAATCCAGTAGTTCAGTCCACGAGGCTGGATGTCTCAGACGATTTTTGGTATACACCAGGATCCCGAAGAGGTAGGCTCTATTGCCGGTGAAGGAATGGACTTGTCACCAGCAGCAAGGAAGGACAAGCAGGCAAAGATCGAGGAGCTTCCTTCTGCCATGTCCTTTAATATAGGCAGCCGCCAGAAGGTGTGGCCCAGAATCAAGATGGATCTTCCCACCTCAGAAGGTCCAGATTTAGAGTGGGTCTTCCCAACTTCAAATTTTTTAATTAAGAAAAATTTGTCTCACATGTAACCCAGCCACTTGGGTTTTAGTTAATTCCAGATATATTCAAGTTGGCATCCAAGACTAGTCATCATAAGCCCCAAGCTGTAAGTCCTGATAGTTCAAAGCTACCACCCTTTGCCGAGAACTTGAAACTGGCCTATGTGTGTAGCCCTGGCTTCACTGACCATTGAACTTCTGGGTTTGTTTTTGTTTTGTTTTTTTAGTGTAATCTGTATATATTGGAGAAGTTTCACTGGTTATTTCTTTTTGACTAGTCTATCAATATTCTTCCATCAGTCTTTTGCATAATCATCTTGCCCAGGCTCCTTTTTTAAATAATCCCCGGAGCATTTTTGAAGTCATTTGAGTGGCCAAAGCAATTTGGGTGGCCATTTCAACAAAATCTTAACTTTCTTTTTATGGTTATACAGTGTTACTTTTAGATGCGGAGATCTTTAGAGGCGCCTCCTCCAACTCTTTCTCTACCTATTTGGGAAAATCACTTAGACATCCAGCCATACATCCTGGGGAATCCTGCCGACTACACCAAATGCTGAGAACACAGTGTTACACCCGGTCTGTGATGCGCCACGAGGAAGGAGATAGACAATATTTATGGGTTCCATAGTCCTTAATAAATCACCGCATAAGCAGGTCACTGATCAATCAGGGCTGCAGGACAAGGATTCAGGAGCCTTGTTTCTCCTGGCAGCCCCAAACAAGGGCAGAAGCAGCGTTTATAAGCACAAGAACCATAAACATTGGTTGCCAAGTTACAGTTACAATTTTCACCAATCAGGATTTAGAGATGAGGGACTTCCCTTGTGTACTCCATCATTGTCAATGGACACAAAACGAGAGCTTTTTCAATCCAACCAATCAGATTCATTTGTTTTTCTTCTGTAGTTAGGAACAGCCATAATATTTTAGAGAACTAAGAGCCATAACAGACTATTTCTATTGTTTAAGGAAGAGGTTGGTCAGCCATTGGAAAGTTCTCAGCTCCCCTAGAGCTTGGGAATCTGAACTTTATTCCACCCTACAGGTAAAATGGAGTCTGAAGTCAAAATGGCAGTAGTTAGGTCTAGCTGCTTTTGCCTGCTCCCTTCAACAGCCTGTGGGTGCTCGGCAATTAGGATGTCCACACAAGATTCGACTTCCAAACATGCTGGGTTTATTCATACAAACTTTCCTTATACTATCATGTTAATACAAAAATTAAACAGACACCTCACCAAGCAGGGGCCAGTTAATTGGACAGAAAATGCTGCTACAGGGTTCCATTGGGGAATCTTCTCCAGTAAGGATGCTTCAGAAGCTAAAGGTCCCTGACAGGCAGGCAGATGTGCACCACTGGTGCTGGTGCCGGGAAGTTCAACAGTCATTGAAACCGGAGCCACACACAGAGACCAGTCTCAAGTCCTCTAGCTGATAGCATCACTGCAGAAGGGAGAGAAGCCACATCTCAGGAGCATGGCAGTGCCCTGCTGTGGGATGGTCTGTATGTCAAATGTGTTGCTGATTGGTCAATGAATAAATCACTGATTGGTCAGTGGCCAGGCAGGAAGTATAGGTGGGACTAACAGAGAGGAGAATTGAGAGAACAGGAAGCTGGGTGAAGGAGACACTGCCAGCCGCCATCAGGACAAGGAAGATGTAAAGTACCGGTAAGCCACAAGCCACGTGGCAAGGTATAGATTAATAGAAATGGATTAATTTAAGCTGTAAGAACAGTTAGCAAAAAGCCTGCCATGGCCATACAGTTTGTAACCAATATAAGTCTCTGTGTTTACTTGGTCGGGTCTGAGTGGCTGTGGGACTGGCGGGTGTCAGAGATTTGTCCTGACTGTGGGCCAGGCAGGAAAACTCAAGCTACAGTGCCCTCCTAGAGATCATTTCCAATGCTGCAATTTTTGTATCATTTCATTGGGCAGTAGCTTCGCATTATCAGCTCTCCCACTCAGTCCTCTCAACATGCCAATGCAACCTTGGGGTTGGTTCATTAGCATGTCAAGGCCTGTCCTGGGCTTGGCTCTGGGACTGACCCATTAACACATCTGAGGCTTGTGCTTCTGAGGCCCAGCTCTTATCACCAGAGCTGCCTGCTGGCAACCTTTTATCTTACAGGCATTACATTATTCCCAAGTCACACAAAACAGTTTAACTTATCTTCCTCACAGTCACGGAGTAAATGCAAATCAAAATCAATGTTCATAACAATGTAAAGAAACTCGAACCCGCGTACATCGTTAGTATGAATGTAAAATGGTGACAGCCTTGGAGAAGATAGGTATTTATAACAGCTCCTCAAAAATGTGAACACATCCTTGTCATACGACTCGGGGTACTGGTCAGCTTTCTGTTATGGCAACACACACGTGTTGTGGAATATTATTTTAACTGGGAAAAGATGTGCTACATTTGTTAATGCTGCAGAATATTACTTTAACTGGGTAAAGGTGTGTTTCTTTTGTTTATGCTGTATTTGTTTAATGATGTAAAGATGTGTTCCATCTGTTTCACCTTGCCTGCCTAAGGCACCTTTATTGGTCTTTATTGGTCTAATAAAGAGCCGAACGGCCAATAGCTAGGCAGGGCTGGTGGGCAGAGAGAATAAATAGGAGGGGAAAAAAAAAATCTAGGCTTGAGAGAGAAGAGGAAAAGAGAAGAGAGGAGAGAATGAGGGAGCCACCAGGGCCAGCCAGCAGAAGCTAGAAGCAGCGAAAGTAAGATATACATACAGAAGGAAAGAAAAGTAAGAAGCCCTGAGGCTAAAGGTAGATCAAGAGAAACAGGTGAACTTAAGTTAAAAGAGCTAGCCAGAAAGGAGCCTAACCTAGACCGAGCATTCAAAACCAGTATTTAAGTCTCTGTGTCATGATTCGGAAGCTGGTTGGCGGCCCAAAAGGAAAAGCCCGGCTACACACAGCTGAGGCAAATCTGCTTAGAAAGAGAAAAGAGGGCCGGGCGGTGGTGGTGGCGCACGCCTTTAATCCCAGCACTCGGGAGGCAGAGCCAGGCGGATCTCTGTGAGTTCGAGGCCAGCCTGGGCTACCGAATGAGTTCCAGGAAAAGGCGCAAAGCTACACAGAGAAACCCTGTCTCGAAAAACCAAAAAAAAAAAAAAAAAGAAAGAGAAAAGGTCTGTCTGTGATCACTGTTTCAGGTGGGCCCATTGCTTTGGGGGGGGGGGGGTCTGTGCTGAGGCATCCCCTCAGAACAGACAGTTCACAGGAGAGCAAGCTGCTTGCATAATGGCTTCTAAAATGAGAACAACAGGGAGGGGACTTGTAGTGGAATATTATTTTAAAATGTGTTACATTTTTTTAATGCTGTGGAATATTGGTTTAATGACGCAAAGATGCGT